TACATTGACGTTGATTGGTTAGGATTCTTGAAAAGCTATACGATCAACTCATTCAGCCGTAAGCAGTGTAAAAACTCAAGTCCGCTCTTAGGATCAGATCACTCTGATATAAAAGATAAGGGACAAAGTTTTTGGCGGTAATCAATCCCGTTTTAGGGATACGCCGCTGCACTCGACTTCCATTCAGAATCATAGTGGCGCCATGAATGCGTATGTCCTATACAATGAATGACCTGCGGTGGTCAGCCGGTAACAAGTCATACTTTTATCCTCCCAGACGAGTATGATGCCAACTAACCGGCCCGGAAGGCATGGAAGGCTTGGTTGGCCTAGGCGGATATCGATCGAGGATTCAAATCCGTGACCATGCGTGTGAGATAGCGCGCCACTTGGCACTACACGACCTGCGACATCCTCGTATAAATATTTAAAGAAAATGTAGCAAGCCTATACTTTTGGTACACACTGTAGCTGATTTTGCACTTATCATAATTGCACAACAGCAAAAAATGTAATTTTTACCTCTTTGATAAAGAGAAGGCAAACAACGACACGTGAAAATTAACACCTCAAAAACTAATCATCAAATTAACAGTAGATAGAATCTCTTCGCACTCAAGTTAAGCTTCAGACGATAACGTTCAGATAATAATAATAAAGCTAAGAACTGTAAATAAATCTGCCAATGCTAACTCACGCACCTCTAATACATTTCCTTAAGAAGCAGTTCCACAGAGCAGACTCTTGATAGAACTGTGAACTCTCGGATGGAGGGATTCGAGTACATATCGATATGACTTCTGGCTAGTGGATCATGTACCCAATATAATGCAGCCGCCGAAAGAGCAGAATAATCGTTTACAACTGATAAGTAGTAGCTGGTTGCCTTACCATTACTGTCGGAGCAGTTCTTTGAACGAAGTCGAAGTGAAAAATGTAGAGGTTACTGCCGTCGAAGTCTTCAAACAGTAAGGGGGGATAACTGGCCATGTCCTCCTCTTATATCTGCCGAGTGTATCGTTCACTGTAAAGTAGCGAGGTTCCAGTATTGCCACTCCTGTCTCTTGTACCAAAGTACAAGGGACTACAGCCTAGCCAGCTACTTCATGCAGACTTGATCAAGGTTGCCAGAATTACCGTAACCGTAATTGGGCCGTCGTAGATTGATCGGAATTCATCAAGAGTTTTACGGTCAGTATAACTCATTCAGCAGCAGGTTGTGGTGAGGACTCGGGTCCTGCTCCTAGGATCAGATCATGCTAAGACCAAGGAGGGCTCCGTTCTTGCCACTATTTAGCTTGGCCTGGCCTGGCCAAACCTGCTAGTAGGGAAAAGTTGTTCTTTGACCACTATGCATACGAAGATTAATGGGACCATCCGTTCTGTGGCACCCAATTTTCGAATTCGGCGTCTAAGCACGTGAAATTTTCTATCGTAGTAATGCATATGATAGCGATAACTAGAAGATGATTCTAGAAAAATCCAGAGTTTTTTAAGCTCAATTTATTAAGATTTCTAACTGACAATTAGTCCCCTGTCTCCATACAATAGGTATTGGCAGCAACAGGCGATGATGATTTGATGAAATCTTAGTTTTGATCCATGACAATGGGAAAAGAAAGTGTTCAGAAGGGATCACCCTTTCTTTTCCTTCTCATTTTGCTTTATTCGTTCTTGCTCTGTATTTATTAATTCTCCTATTACCTTCAAAAGGATAAAAGCGGAGGTGGTGTAGGGGCACATGGCGCGCTATCACACACGCAATGTCATGAGTTTGAATCATGGATAGATACCTGCCTAGGCCGATCAGGCCTTTCTCTGGGATCGCCAAGTTGGTACTAGATTTGTTGAAAAGGTAAAAATACTGACTAAGACAACGGCTGGCCACCGCAAGCCATTGTATAGGTTACATAAGCATTCAAAACGCCACTACGATTCTGAATGGAAGTCGTATGCGGGGCGCATCCCTCAGATAAGACTGATTAACGCTGAGAAACATCATCCTTTATTAATTTAACTTGCAATGAAGATCGTGCCCCAGGGATGGGTTGTTGTACCAGGCACTGCTAGCACGAAAATATTGCTGTCAAGTACCACTACATCAATGAAGTAAGCAGACACCATGCACCTCTGCTTCAACATCGTTGAAATCTGATCACCTTACTGAACTGGTTTCGATGCTTATTTCAAGCCCAATTTCCAAAACTGAAAGGCCCCTAGTAAAGGTAGATGGCTCGAGATCAAGGAGCTCCACTAATTGTTATCAACTTATAGGGTTGTCATAGGGAATACTGGTTCTTGTTGATAAAATGAAAGGAAAACTCGATCAATTAGCTAGACCAAGAGATATGAAGTGCAGAAGTCCTCAAAGGAATGACCCTCGTACCTCCTAACCTACGAAGAGGCTCTTCTAATCTCTGCTCTGATTCTTCCAATGATTTCAACAGTCAACAGAATGTTACACAGTCATTACAATAGAACGTATTAAGTACCTACGACGAACTATTACTATCAGGGAGAAGTAGTCCTTGACTGAGATAAAAACATCTTTTTAGACTTGTGTACGACCAGGACACTCAGTAAAAGCCGTAAGAGCTGGCGTAGCAAAGGTTTTTAGACAAAACCCATCGCTGGGTTTAATTTCGTTCAACCGTCTATTCTCCTTCTCTTATGGTTATTAGTTACAAGTACCGAACCCCTTCTAAATTTTGAGAGGAAATACCCGGTTTAAGGTGGTTTTTAGAGATGTCGACGCGCAGGGCCAAGTACTTTACTTTTCATTGAGCTCATGACAGCGGTAGTTTTTGTGCAGTACCTTACCGTAATAGTACTATCAATCACCGAGCTACATATTTCAAGTTCAAGAAAAAAGGTCTTCAGAGAAAATAGTAGTTTGTGTAAGGTAAAGGAATAATAGAAAACGTATGTGGCAAAATAGAAAGGTGAAGAGCGACCTAATGGTCCGCACTACCCTTTCCTTTTGTTACAGATTGTCTGCACCAAGGGCTGTCCGTTCAACTATGCGCTTGATCCTCCGCTGCTCTGATTCTTCCCAAAACTAATTAATGGGATTCCGAAGCCTCTTTAGCTTTTTTTGTTTTGCATTGCTTACTGTTTATTGTTTACATGTGCTTTACAGCGATAAATGGATTTGTACAGTTAGTGACCTAAATCCAATAGTTGGAACTAAGAAAAGGGCTGATCTGCGGGCATTTGTGTACATGGTGGTCAAAAACAGAGAATTACACTCCACTTTTCTCGTTTGGTCCGACACAACTGAATGCGAAATCTAGCTCGGCCTTTCTCAATCTAATCTTCAAAGTAGTATTATTCTTCTGAATACTTCTACTTACTACTGGATGAGTTACTTTGGTCCTGTTGATCTTGCCTCTAAACCCTGATCAATGTATGACTGTTATGGCATCATCGCGAGGTTCTGTGAACATTGATCAGTGATGTCAGTGTGGAGTGTGGGGGTAGACTCTAGTCCTTTGCACTTTGATACGGAAACAGGCACGACACTGCCCTCGACACTATAGTGACTTGTGACTTTACTATGATAGATATGATACTATATCATTACTTTACTATGTACTTAAGTAATAAGAGACGAAACCAGTTATCTATCTCTCGCTTGACCCTTCCCTATATATTCTTCTCCTCAGTTTCCTTCCGTTTTACCAGACTATGACCACACTAGGCTGTGCCTCCAATGATTGACGTCTTTGTCGTCGTACAATTTTGCTATTATAAGTTAATTTGCCTGTTTTATTGATTGCATGAATAACGTGGCGATTTTATTTCCGATTTTTTGTAGTCTCTCGCTGTGGTTTTTTGTTAAAGTGGTTTGCTGTTTATGGGAGTTTTCGGGAGGGCTCGGTAGAGCCTTGAAAAGCGTTGTTTCACATTAAGGGTGCTACCTTAGTTTCATCGATAATTTTGTTTTTATTAGAAGTCACACTACTATCAATAAATTGTGGAATATCCGGTTGCCCGAGCTTGACTTGACTAACCACCTGTGTAACACCGGCGACGAGATTTGATGTTTCCATCTGTCAACTTCGTTGAGTTCCTCCGGTTTGAGCTTCTTCATTTATCAAGATCGCTTTAACTTTGCGAATTTACCTCGGAAGAAAGTGCAATGAAGAAAGCCAACCTCCTGATTTGAATACCTTTCTACTTGAAACCTTCTACTCTTCGATACTATCCATGTTGAAGACGAATGATAGAAATTTTGGTGATAGCATTGGTACATGCAGCATGTCCACCATTACCTTGTCATCTGATCTCCTGCGCTTCCAACAGTCAATTCCTCGATCAAATTCAATTTCCTCAAATATCTGCACCCGTTCCTGTTAAGGGCCAATGTTTTTTCAAGACCCCGTCGCTTAAGAGGTGCGCGAAGTCGTCTCTCGCCAAGTCGTCTGTCTGATTGCCGGTTCGCTTGTTGTCCCGAGAGATCAATTCCATAGCACCCATCATCACAAGGCCCTGCTACGGGTAAAGTACACCTGATCTTTAGTTCTACACGCAACAGGGTCTCCTGTCTTCGATCGGTGAGAACCGAAAAACTCCCTTTTTCCTTGGGGAACTCTCTTCGCACCGTGCCCTAGGTTAGTTGACTATATGCTCGTGCTCCTTTCTGTAGGAGAAGTGAGTGAGAAGGTGGGATGAGAGGGGGTCGAGCACCAAAGTCCAGAAATTGTGAGCATAAGTGTTGTGCAGATCGCTCTTTTTTTATAATTGTTACCGAAAATTTTATAATTATTAATTAAATATTAATTTATAAATATTTTATGTGCGTATTTATTAGACATAACTGGCTACAGTACTGCGTTTTGGTAATTTTTGATGTCATTATGGTAACTATTGTTCTACCGTTGAAAACTTCGAAGGATGGACCCTTCGAGAGGTCCCTGCAGCCTTGCCATTCATCTTGGAAGGATCTCCACAACGCATTGAAATGGTCCGCTTTCATTTTTTAAACAGCCCTTTTTTAGAATGAAACCCATTTTTGGCATCGACTTCACTCCACTCACGGAATCGTGGGAAGAGCAAATTCAGATGTTAGGCGTTTTGATTGTATACGTGCTGACATTCCCGATGACTGTTGTCTTCTTCTTTCTGCCATTCATCCTGGTAATTTTTGATAATTTTCATTTATTTTTGTGAATTGGTAAGGGTGAATTTTGTAGATGTTCATGGGTCAATGGCATCTTCTCTTCGCTTATTTCCTATGGTTTTTATACGATAAAAAATCATCAAAAACTGGTGGATATGAGGGACACTGGCTACAGGAGTAAGCAGACTTGCTTTGTATTATATTTGCTCCTAAAATTTGGAGATTACTTTATTAAACACATTTTTGCTTATTTAGGCTGATATGTAACAGATGGTTTGCCGAATATTTCCCAGCTACTCTTCACAAAACCGCCGAACTACCAGCTGATAGGGTAATCTTGAATTATTTTTAATATAGCACATACTTATCAGTATAATTCCAGAATTACATTATCGCAGCTCATCCACATGGAATAATTTGTTTCGGAATTTATGCAACTTTCGTAACAAATGCAACTGAAAGGAGTAAAAAGGTAGTGTGCCTTTCTATCGATAGTAAAAGCCTTTTCAATATCGAATGCACAATGCAAGATGGTCGAGTGACTGTAAGCTAAATCGGTCCGAAGCTGAAAACACGCTCGAATCTGAGTAGTCGTCCCCTGCGGTCAGCTGCGAGACTCTACAGACACTATAGGGTTGCGGACTTTAAATGATTGGAGTGTAAAAGTTTTCCCATGGGATTCTCTTCTCAACCAGACCTCATTCGCACTTTCTTTTCCCTGCTTCAACTCTAAAAAAATGGGCTTCGACGAGTGCAGTACTTGAGAAACTTACATGTATAAGATGTACCCCTTCTACTCTCCTTCCTACGAAGCGAGGGTGTACAGCTTGAGCCTTCATTTTCGAACACCTTGTTCTATGGCATACACTGCCCTTTTACTTGTTCAAAACGATTAAGTAAATTTCTTTTATTTAGTATCCTGGAATCAGATTCCTGACGTGCACACTGGCATCAAACTTCAACATCATGATCAGGTAAACAACTTACTATCCCCACTAGAAGCCTAGAAGACCGCACCACCGGGTTCAGCCTGGGAGCCTGAACCCGGTGGTGCGCTGTCACCGACTACGGATCAGCTGTTTTGAGCGATTTTCCTTTCAAAACTATGAACAGCCATAAAAACAGCCTATTGGTTCAATCACAGTTTTGCCATTTGCCCTCTCCGGCCGAAAAGCATTAATGAAATATGCTAAATAGCACGATTTAAAGTAACTGCATTCAGAAGAGAATGGCTATTGCTGAGTGGTTTTATCGACTGCTCCAAGGAAAGCATACAAAACGCTCTTACAAAGAAGAAAGCCGGACAAGCTGTTATCATTGCTGTTGGTAGGTGATCATCTCCTTTCGGCAAACCCGTTTCTTCGTTATCTTGAGCACTAATCCTACTTGAGATCGATTTTGAGTGCAAGCTGGAGCTTGTGAATTCTAACTGAATCATACGCTCAGCATAAGCAACGGCATCTCTAAAGTTTGGCTTTTAAGGTGGAGCCGAGGAAGCGCTCTACGCCCGACCGGGTGAACATAAACTAAAGCTGCTCACCCGAAAAGGTTTTGTGAAACAAGCACTCCGATGTGGTGCCTCATTAGTTCCTGTGTATTCATTTGGGGAGAACGACCTCTACCTACAGGTAAGGGAGCTAATAGGCGGCGTCAGAATTTGCTAGACACTTATTGACTCTTGTTTTTGGTTGGAACCGTTGGATTCCACTTAATCCAGGAATATTTCTAAAGTCTAAAAATGCCCTGNTTGTGAAACAAGCACTCCGATGTGGTGCCTCATTAGTTCCTGTGTATTCATTTGGGGAGAACGACCTCTACCTACAGGTAAGAGAGCTAATAGGCTTCTTAAGAATTTGCTGGACAGTTTATTCGTTGTTGTTTTTGGTTAGAACCGTTGAATTTTACTCAATCCAGGTCTACGTCTTAGTTGTAAAAATGCCCTGGAATTTGCAGAAATAGGTAAAACGACTAAGAGCTTATCTTCCATTATTTCGAAGAGGACAAGTCGAAAAACTCGTTTCTTCGCCTTTTTTTTCACCGGAAGCGGATTTGCGATTTAAAGTGAAAAAAAATTTAAACTTGAGTTTGGATGACCACTTTTGAGAAGGAGGAAATTCCACCCTCATTTGGTTATCTTCCTTGAGCAACGGCTTTCGATCAAAAATGACTGAGAGAAATTGACTACAATCAGATAAATCTGTAATTTAGCTCGACAATCCGGAAGGTTCGAAGGTACGCAAGTTCCAGACCTGGGTTAAGAAGCATATCGGAATTTCCGCGCCACTCTTTTATGGCAGAGGAATATTTCAGGTGGGTGAGACATTTCAGATGGGCAAATGGGCAAACGACCGAGGGGTTCTGATTGAATAGTTTTTTATAGTTAATGTTGATTTTTTATTTAATATTAGTTTTTTTGTATTCCACTCAAATATAATCTGACAATGTCGTTTTATAAGGTTTATAATGGACTGGAGTGCCTTTTTAGCAAAATTTCGGTTTTATGCCGTTCCGAAGACCAATCAACACTGTCATCGGGGCACCAATAGATGTTCCGAAAGTGCTTGAGCCGACTGATATGGAAGTGGACCGTGTCCATCGTCAATACTGTGAAGCTCTCACGGAGCTCTTTGAGCAGCACAAAACACGATTCGGTGTTTCGAAAGAGACAAAGCTTATACTTGTATAGAGATCATAATTTATCAGATTTTATCAATCGATTTTATCGTCGTTCTTTCCTTGCCATGCCTTTCAGTTTTCACTACCTAAGATTTAAGATCGCTGATCTCCAAAAGTGTTTCAGGATAGACTAGCAGGTTGTCGTGTTAGAGTTACTGTTAGCGATTTCTAGCTCTTTTTGTTAGTAAAGTTTTACGCCTAATGCTATGCTGTTGATATGTATATAAAAATTAAAATAAAAATTTGAAAAATCATTTTGGCGGAAATTCGGTTTCCTGTGGAGTTGATGGAAAGTATTACGTCGAAACCTGTATTTGAAACAAAAGCCTCTTTCCTTACAGATCCGTCTTAGCAATCGTAAGTTATCTGGCTTTACTGGATCCTCTCTATGTCTACCTTTTGATTGGACAGTCCTTCTCCACGATGTTTCCTATACTCGACCAGGTGATTAAAATCCGAGTCAGGTAATTAAATTACATATTTTTACAAACGGTCATAGGTGGTAGCGGCAAGTGACACGCTAACACAAACACGTATTGTGCTGGATCGATACTCGCCCAGGCAAACACATTTCCCATCCCTCCATAGTCAGCTAGTTGGTACTAGACGTCTGGGAAGGACAAAACATCGAGTGTATATCGGCTGGTCACTGCAAGTCATTGTACAAGCCGGTACGCATTCAAAACAACGCCACGTTTTTGAATAGAAGTCGAATGCGGAGCGCATCTTTCGAAAGCTTAGCGACGAATTGGAGTTGTGGACACTAACCCTCCTTGAGTTTGCAGGACTCGTGCCTCTGCGGATATGCCATATATGTCGTACCTGGTAAAAACAAGCTCTCATGAAAAAGTGAAAGAAATCAAAAATTTGTGTTTGCTATGATTGTCCTGTATCCTACACTTCTTGCCTGGACAACTTTCTAGTGCTTGGTTCGGATCTCATTTATCATGAATTATTTATGTTGGTAATACTAATGTTAAGCTGTAAACAGTTATTGAAATCACATCCGATGACATCAATGCTGGCTCTCGTAGATCTCTGGAATTTCATAATCAAAACAAACGGAAAAAGTGGAACTGATATGTCGAAATGTTGAGAAAAAACTGCGCTGCCCTTCGTCCAAGTTGCAGACGTCGGCGAGCTTTCTTATCACGCTGCCCTAGAGTGATAAGGTTTCCCGAGTTGTTGACCGCATCCACCGCTTTCGACCCATCCTATCGGGCATGGCTGTTGATCAATAAATAGATTACCTGAAAGGCATATTTGAAAACAAGCTTCTTCCTCGTTCCTGTTGGTATTATTTATTTATCCAAAAGGTGAGTATTTGACTGAATTTGCATTCTATGTATAAGTTTGAATAGGCAAAGTTCGCAAAGTTGTTAGTTCTTGCTTAAAAACACATTTCAGCGGAGTCGAGTATAGTTTGGGTAACCAGTAATGTGGCTGCCATTAGCCACTTTACTGCTTACAGCACTTTCATCTACTGCAGCTAGAGAAGTTGTGGTGAAAACTAGCAGAGGCAGTCTTGTTGGCTATCAATCAGTTTCGTCCTCAGGAAAACTCGTTAATATTTTCAAGGTTAGTTTAATTACGAAGGAAGCTAGAGAAAGAGCAGTACTTCCACCGAAAAATTCCTAAAAATCCCGATGGGACTTCGAATGGATGATAAAAGATGATTTGGTTTGGAATGCTGTTCACGAATGTAGACATTAAAGTTGCTAGAGAATTTCCTAAAAAGGAGTAACGAGAGCATAAATTCAGTTTTTCAAACTTTGAAGATGGCTTCAATTAGAGATTTTCAGCTGACGCAGGAACAGAAAGCGTCGGATAAGGTAACTTCTCCCCAAAAATCGCGTCGCGCTGCCGCACACGATCGCGCGCCATGAAGGGAAGGGTTTATCCAGTGAAATGGTACCCGAAGCGGAATCCCTGCCGCATACCATGGGAATTCGGGAAAAGTAGCGCCCCCGAAAGCGTCGCCTATGCGTTGTCGGAGAGCAATCCCTCCCTCAGCAGAGGGTGATACATGCTCCCTACAAAATTACTACCTTTCCAATAAGTACTTTGGCCGCATTTCCCAAAATCAAATCATGTATGTACTTTATTTCCGCGTTCACATACTACCAAATGTTCCTGCACTTGAATCCTCTGGCTCTCATTCATTTCTAACAATGAAAGACCCATACGAAGGAAATCTGCTTGAAACAGGAATGTGGAAGGAAGGGAGGATTAGCGGAGGGAGTCATCCAACACCTTAAACCCTTATAAGATTTTTCTGATTTCCAAATTAAAGAAAAACTGGAGAGTTTAATGAAAGGGATGTCATAGTAGTAATCAGTACATAAACGGGATCAACCTTTCTTCACCTAGATGGATTACTGTAAGAAAGGGTTGACAATTTTGTTCTACTTTATAGAAATACTCATTTATGGATTGGAAGTACTTTCAGCAAATCCCATATGCTGAACCGCCTGTTGGCGAACTACGTTTCCAAAGACCACATGAAGTCAGGAAATGGAATGGTATCAGGGATGCAACAGGTAGGCAGAAATGAGTTTTGTTACCTAATAACCTCTCTTTTGGAAAACCATACGAATTTGCAGAGTACGGACCTGCTTGTATGTCAAACTCTTCAACAACGACTAGCCCACAAAAATGGGTAGACGAGGATTGCCTACATCTGAACATCTTTGCCAGTGCTGATTGTCTGGTAGGTTGATCCTTTCAATTCCAGCAATGCACCTGGGGCATGATAGAGAAACCTCAGCCTGTTATAGGTTTTATATGATTATTTCCACTAATATGAACACTTCCACTTATAAATGCAGATCCCCAGAGATATGGTGATAACCCTTTCCTAATTTCTAATCGTCGCCATTCTTTTATTTACAGCCATAAGAAAAAAAACCCAAAAGTTAACTTAATACCATCATTAACTATCCTTTATCGCAGGTAAATCCTTGCCCTGTGGCATTTTATATTCATGGAGGTGGATTCAATTACGATTCTGCCGTCATGTTCAAGGACGAAGCGCTTGTCGACAATTTTGGAGGAAACGGTACGTTTTCTCCGCAACTATCTCTTCTGAAGATTTATCTCACAGTAACCTTAGAAGGGGCACAGCCAGGGATTAAGTCTCCAACATAATCTACTAACCTCGAACCACTGTCAAGGTGAGGACTGTGGTTCGTCTGGTTAGGAGGCCGAACTTCAACTTTATTTCGATAACTTTGTCATTTTGTTGTGTTTACTTACTGTTTTGTATACTCCAGTGATATCAATTTGTTACATTTCACTTCGAATACTCTCGTCTTCCTCAGACGTCATCCTGGTAATTCCTGGAGTACGATTGGGATTCTTTGGCTTGTTGACGTTTGGTTCAGATGATGTCGTTCCTAGAAATTTAGCAGCATACGGTGAATATTTTCTTGATACGACAGTGACGAAGCGATCTGTGATATTGAGAATTTCCAGACCTTCTGGCTGCCCTGCAATTTGTCAGAAAAGAAATCCACCATTTCGGAGGGGATCCCGGCAACGTCGCCCTCATGGGTCATTCAGGAGGAGCTGTTGCTGTGGCTCAACTAGCATTCTCAAAGCAGATCGACCCTGATGTGAAGTCTGTTTCTTTTTAGTCCACCTAATTGTACTCCTTGATAATAATAGCATCAGTAGTAAAGCTTCCTACTCACTGTAAAGACAATGATGTTCTTCTAAAGGAAACTCATGCATTTTTACGTAATTCTTGAAATGGTCTTTCTCTGTTTTCTTCGTTTCTGCTCACTTGTCATTTTATTACTCATTTTCTAGATTGTTCCAAAAAGGTATTATAATGTCGATGGCTTTCGGGTTCTCTGACGAATCACATATGCAAAATCTTACGACAGAGTTGGCCTATCGTGCGGAGGTGATGTCTTGAATTTACAGCCAATTATGACCAAAAATATTGATGTTTTTTTTTCTTGACGACAAATAGGGGTGTGGTGCGTTAGGAACGAAATGGTCGCGTCGCGGTGGGAGGGGCGTCGCGCGCGAAAGAATGTAGCAGGATGCAGAAGTAGGTAAGAAATACAAGAACAAAAGTACTAATAGTAGAATTATGCATAAAATAATGATCGCATATCGATTGAGCTGAGCGTATGAAGAACGCTGGGGCTGTAATAACGGCGAATGAGAGGTTCGCGACAGCCGCGTGCGGCAAATCGACTACCCAAAATCGTTCCTAATGCCCGTCTCCCGACAAATAGCAACTTCGAGGTGCCATAGCCGAAGTAAATACCAGAATGAGATTGTTGAATCAAATCCTGTTGGAAGACCCTGATTACCATGAAGAGATTTCGGTCTTTCAACGGGATTCTCAAAACGCTGTTGAATTCTCTATGGCGAATGTGATCATTTTCGCTGGATTCATTCAAAAACCTCCTACTACTTAGGAAATACATCACTATGGTTTACTACAGTTACTCATTACCTGAGGCGCTATCTACGTCTCCTGCTAATGCTGAGACCATTTTCTTAGTTGAATAAACACAAACACTGAAAATTTCCCTTCTTCAGTGCCTACCTACAAGGACTTCTGTTCCCTCGTCGAAAGCTTTCACTGAAGGAGTTGTCCACTGTCTCCGACAGTTAGATAGTTTCGAGATATTACGGTACCCTATAACATCACGGTACAGGCTTACAGCAAATAAATTTTTTATATTCAAGGATACAAAGAGAAATGGAAGACGAGGATGAAAATCTCAAACCTGAAGGTTTTATCATGGCAAAACCACTATTCGACGCTGATGATCTGCAAGATTTTATCCGCGATCCTCCTCCTCGGGCGATAATGACTGGAACCACAGTTCATGAATTCGATAACTCTTTAAAAGTGGATGTGAGACCCATCATGTCACTTCTGGGAATGAACAATACCGACGAAATCGTGGCTAAATATCGGCAGGACTTCGACGGCAGGAAGCTACGTAAGTTAGATTCTAAAGCTACTACCTATACCTACTTTTTCGTTCATGGTGCCCCAACTGGGAGTGAAATGTAAAAATTAATGGACTGTGCATGGCTGTGGAGTTCTCATTTGAGAACTCTCACCAGTCACCATCTCAACGATACTTTCAGCTTTCAATCATACAACCGAGACACAGACGATTTTTGTTTCCACTTATGTAGTAGGACATTCGATGCGAGCTGCTGGAGGAGAGGTAACAATCGCTTCTGTTTCTCAGCTTTATATGTCTCTTGCGAAGCAGGAATTTTAGACATACCTCTACTCCTACAAGAATCCACGTCATGCTAAACACACCGACGATCTTTCGTACATCATGGGAGTGCATATGTTCGAGCAAGACGCAAACGAAAAGGTACTCGCGGTGGTCTATCCAAAACTTTTCACTGATTTTATCAAGTCCGGCAGACCACGTAAAGGTAAGTGTTTGTTAGAGGTATGTAACACCTCCATGATCCTCGTGAATAGCTAAGTTTCTCATACACTGCTGTTGCATACCTGTAATGTGTTGATCAAAATAGTTTTCTCAAAACAGTTGTAGTGCTGACCTTTTGAAGCTATTATCCACTACTATTCTGTAATATGTGTGGAGTTCATGTTTCGCTTTCCTTTCGTAAAAGGCTATTTGGGAACTTGACCTCTGAAGGGACCCTACCCCCCAAAGGCCCATGTTTCCTCGTCGGGCTCTCTTAAAGAGATGTGTAGGCGAAGTCAGTTTCACTGCAGCAAATGAACAAAGCGGTTTCTGATAATCCAGAGTCACCGGCTAAACAGAAATTCGTTATGTCTTTAGTGTTCTTCTCTGAAGTCTGGACCAGATATTGCAATTTTTATCCGGCTAACATTTCGGTCAGTCGCCTTCGTCAGAGCCTGAAAGCCAAAAAATGTCCGGGATTCATCCTGATCAAACAAAGTTTAGCTCTCAGCTTAGTTCAGGTGCGGCCTATAGGTACTAGAGAGGACTTGTAAACCACAACAGGTTACCCTATCTTAGATGCACAAAAGAAGACCGTTGACCCTTCATCTTGAACGGCGAATTTTAATCTTTTGCAGAAAATCGTTATATCTCTTTTAATCATATTTAGTTTGGTCAAGTAAGGACTTTACTAGAGTATGTGATAGTAGGTTAGATTTGCTTTAATGATCGCTTTGAAGGTACTACCTAGCTGACTTGTGCCCTGAAATTTGTAACGTTTTGTATATGCGTTTCTCGTCAATCAAAGCTGTACTTGACTGGGACACTACATTTATCCCTAGGATAGGCTCTTTTCATCCCGTTCATGTGTCTTAGTATTGCAATGGAGTGAAGATACAAGAGGAGGAAATATGCGGCACTGGTTAAGAACTGCCGCATTCACTGGCACGCTTTTATTGAAATTACATATATTTTGGCTATGCTTTAAAGCTATTTTTCGTAAATTAATGCGAATTTCAAATCAATTTAGATTGGACACCTCTGCACAGGAATCTCGACAATTATATGCATATCGATGTCAATGTAGATGACGAAACATTGCCTCATATGGCTTTGGGTTACGAGAAAGAAGTAATGGACTACTGGAAGACCATGAAAGCATTCGATGAAAGTCTGACGAAACTTAAGGAGAGGGTAGGTTTCTCACTCTCCACTTTCAATTCTTAAAAACGGTACCAGCAGCTGTATATGAGAAAACTAGGACTACACCCTAGGCTAGAGAAACTCGTGTGGTAAGGTTTTAGAAGTTTAGACCATACATAATGAAAGTGTCTTGCACTTTTCTTTAGCACCCTACGATAGGCGTGACCANTGAGTGGGCGTGGTGTTGCGAGTACATGGACATATGGGCCCTCATGTTTATTTGCTTTGAAGGCACGTAGGCAAAGGCGACATGATGTATTCATGATATTGATCAATGAGCTGAACGTATCGATTTATTGGAATTGTATGGCTTAGGGGGAGGTGTGTTGTTCACTTCGACATTCAGTTGGAGAATTCCTCCCAAGGGTTACGGAAGTGAACTTGAATTTTCCCCCCAAAACATTTGTGTCCCAGCACTCTCATGGGACATTGTCATTTTGGAATCGAGAACACCTTCAAGGAGCAAAACAGCTGATAGCAATGAATTTGGTTTGATAACACAATGAAATGAACACAAGAAGACGTGACGACTGTTGTCAAGCAAACCCTTCCCACACGGTGTGGAAAAACCGCCCAACTTCTCTTCTTACCCCCATTTCACTTGTCATGTCGGATGTTCTTCAGCATCACTCTGATTTCTCAGAGTGAAGCTTGGAAGGTATCGTATCCGTCTCGATTCTCATTGTGTTGTTTGATCCATTCCTACCTTTCGACCTTTTACCGTCTCTTAGAAATACCTTTTTGCAATGTGTCTCTGAGGTAACCGAACGCTTTATTACTCTTAAGATCGACTTCCGTGATCATTTTAGTAAGGAAAAGAAAGGATTTCTCAGTTAGAATTGCTTGCCAAAGCACAGACAGACAGTTTGACAAGAAGGAGGTTACCAGTAACACTACAATGTTCCTCTTTCACCACAAACTGAGTAGTCTCATATAACTTGATTATAGGGATGGGCCGAACACGTACTCAAAACTGAACCAATGCAAAACTTCGTTTTGTATTTTGCTCCGGCCCAAAACCCAGAAAAAAAACACACATACGTATCGCCTTGGTATAGTAAAGACTGGTAAAGTGGGCTGATGGGCACTATTACTCCGACAGCTATGATTTCAAGTGTCAAACACTTGGAAATGTTGGAATCCGTAAATCGAAAGTCGTCCCGGAATTTTTCCCAATTCAAGGTGTTCTGTATGAAATCGACTTTCAAACCGGAACAAAAATCGGAAAGTAACCTTAGTGTGCTCATGCTCACGTTATTCAGCTCATATAAAATCCGATTTTGGAAAAGACTTGTTCGTTCCACCCTTGGTATAGAGGGGCATAAAGTATGGGTGTTTCATACTAATAGGATTAGTTTGAGAGTAGGGCTAGATGGCAATCACTTCCAAGCTTGTAGAGTTCTACTAGAGTTCAACATTCCTAACCAAGGTTTGGCATGACTATGAAACTGTTGTATTCAAGATATCTGGGACTTTTGTGACTTTTTCTGGAAAATTCCGTTAATTTCAAAAAATTAGACTGATGCCGGATTCCTAAATTTCTACCGATTATCGGAATCTTTTTCAAGAAATAGTTCACGCTCAATAATTCATTCTCAGTAGGCATGAACAGAGGATATCACAATGAGCCTCTGAATGCCACTATACAGACCAAATGTCTACCGGACTACTTACCATATAAGTTGACGCATGGCGCAGTCTGGTTGTTGTGTACATATCTGTTCAATTGATTTGAGGCGATTAGCTTCTGTTTCGTGATTCACCAAATCCAAGTTTCTGAAAGTATTATAATTAGCTCTGAAACTATTGTAACCGGATGTNCTTAAATTTTTGGTAATTAGGTTGCCGAAACACGAGAAATGGACAGCCCATTCCGTTCTAATGACAGAACTCCTACGATCATGCTAATATCGATACCAATCGTCGTGGTAGTCTGTGCTGTACTTGTCATCGGTTATGTGGTGCGTCAACGACAACGACGGAGGACTCATCCTGGAAAACCAGACGAGACCACGCCACTTGTCAGTGGAAATCCTGAGGCAGGAATGCCACAGCCAAACGATGAATGGAAGTAGTGCTTATCACTCACTCGGAACTAGCTGGTTACTACAATTTGCTTTGATATATCTGATTTTGTAAATTTTTCCCATTTGGTACTTCTTCGTCGTATTGTTTGGTATTTGCAAGGCTTAATAAAGTGTACGAAACGACTACCAGGAGTATGACTGAATTCTGGGTGATTCAAGAAGGATAGCGTGATTCATATATTAAGAGGTTTTCTGCAAATGAGCTGCTGCTCTATTCCAGTCATGTGGGAAAGGGTCTCTCCAACTAACATCTTACCAGCCATGTCAGCTCTCCAATCCCACGAATTCCTTCCCCCGCCTTTTCCACCCAACTTCGTTCATCCCCATTTACTCCCAGTCTGATCAATCTACCATCAGTATTGGGGATTTTCTACAAACAAGCATAACATGGTGCAGGAAGCTATCTGGAAGGATGTACCTATTGAGTCCAACCGAGAATCACACTATCTCTTCTTATAGGTTTCCCTCTATCTAATTCTCCTCGTTCTCTTCGTCATTAATTTGGGAGATTTAAGTAGAGTTGTTTTTCAAGGGAATTCCTCATAAAAATCCTTTGGATGCTGAAAATCGTGTGGGGACCGTGTTTCAAAGAGAGGGGCCCTCATTACTTTCATAGACTATCCTGCTTCGGCCTGCATCTCCTTCATGTCGGTCAATCTCTTTTAAGCGAAATCGTGCATTCATGATAGTTGTTATTTCGCCTATAGGAGCTGCATGAGCCAAAGTCCTCTGAACGTAATCCTCGAGTCCTCGGGACCATGGGAACTTACACNAGCATAACATGGAGTAGGAAGCTATCTGGAAGGATGGTTACCTATTGAGTCCAGCCGAGAATCACACTATCTCTTCTTATAAGTTTCCCTCTATCTAATTCTCCTCGTTCTCTTCGTCATTAATTTGGGAGGTTTAAGTAGAGTTATTTTTCAACGGAATTCCTCATAAAAATCCTTTCGATGCTGAAAATCGTGTGGGGACCGTGTATCAAAGAGAGGGGCCCTCATTACTTTCACAGACTATCCTGCTTCGGCCTGCATCTCCATCATGTCGGTCGATGTCTTTTAAGCGAAATCGTGCACTCATGAAGTTGTTGTTTCGGCTATAGGAGCTACATGGACCAGAGTCTTCTGAATGTAATCCTCGAATCCTCATGACCATGGGAACTTACACCCGTCGGTGACGTTTCGTTTAATGGCAGACGCCTTTGAATCGGAATGAAGCTTTTCTCTAGAACTGGTGACAGACCAGAAATTGGTCGGAATTAAGAACCGTACTCAGAGTAGCGGTAGAAACATCACCATTCCTCTATTCGAAATGTCAGCGGAGCGGTTACTTGATAGGTTAATCGGAGCTTTTCATAGTGTTCTACTCGCTCTATCTAGATGCGTTTTCTGGAATACGGTACATACCTATGCCCTTTGTTCCCCACATTTAAAGTCAGACAAATCAGTCGAATACGGTATCCATGCCATTTCCATCAAATTTATTTTTAATCCTCTACACATACTTAGCAACTCAAAATTAATTTGGCAAGCTCATCAGGTCAGCATGAAGATCGACATCAACATTTACTGGCAGTGTATTAAATGAAAGTAAAACGGATGGCACCAAGTTAGGAACCGGATCTTCAAATGCTACTGCATAATCCTTCATCAGGTGAGCAAGTTCCATTTG